ACGTGGCTCCTGTGCCTTCACTCCCCCTGTGTGTGTCAGCTCTGCCGCCCTGTTCCCACCCCAGCAGCCTCTGTGGTCTCATCCTCCCTCTCTGCAAGGTGAAACGCCCACTTTTGTATCTGTTCCACTTTAGACCCTTTTAGATTGTGTCTCTGTTCTCGTGAATTTCTGCCCATTCCAGAAACAGCATCTTGGATGGATGGAATCTTTTCAACTCTAATTGAATGGTGATTGACACACATTCCTATGGATTAGATTTATAGTTATTTTACTGAAGGGTAGCTAATTGGTGTATTTTTGTGAATATTACATTTCAAATTCCAGGTCACGTTAAAAAGAAATAAAGTCTGTGAATTTACTGCCCATCAGGGGAATACTTAATAAGAATATTTTGTTATTTTGAAATAAAAGTTTTCCATTACCGCTAGATTTCTAAAATGTAGAAAGAAAGTTCTCTTGGCTGACAGAATTGTTTTAATTTATAAGCTGCAGGACAGGGTAGAAGCTACTGTAGATTGCTTTCATTGATTATGATCTGCTTGAATTGGCAGAGGAAGAAGTGTTATGATGATGAGAACTTGTCTTATTGTTGTGATTAGCTGTTACCAGAGTCTAATTACTGTGCATGATGCTAAAATGTGTAAGCTGCTGACACTTAGAGATAAGGAGATGAAAAGAAATCAGCTCATTCCAGATAGCTATTCTGTTCAGGGTTTTTTTCATTATTATTGTTATTTTTGTGCACTTTCCTGAGTGGTGCTTTAGGGTGCATGGATTAAGTCATGGTTTGGCTGTAAAAGCTGCCATCAAGCTTTGGTTGTAGTTAAATAAGCTTTAAGCACCAAGGGACTGAATAAAATAAGGGTTAGTAGAGGTGATGACAAGGAATTCAGTTAATGATATGAGCATCTGCTTAGTGAATGCATTGTTATTAGCTATTAATTTGGTTGCTGTAGGCAGGATCCAAATGTGATAGAGAAGAGGGGTAAAACTTAGGAATCTGGTTACCGTAGGAAGCAGACATGGGAAAATGCCATTCCAGCCGTGCTGGCTGCTTCGGAACTGGCACTTCCACAGCAAAGTAGAGGTTTTCCCACTGTCTGCATCAAAAAAATCTCCTTTGCCTGGGAGACGAGCTGCTCTTCTCCAGTTTTGAGCCATCGCGTTAGGGACGCAGTCCTCTGAAGTTCTGCAGAGTTTCACCTGAGCTGGTCTGGGAGCTCAGCACCCCGGGGAGTCCTGCCATAAGTACTGTGCTGACTTCAGAAAATGTTTTGGGATCCTCTGGGATGACAGATGCTTGTGTATGCACGTGTAACATGCTGTTAATAATTAGAGCTGATTGGATATTCAGTACAAATTACACTGGCTATGAAGTTAGCCCCTTCTTTAGGCTTACAAGTGGCTCACAAAACACTGTTAAAGCATATTTTTAAATGTATGTTTTTTCATAAACATTGACAGATTTAATTTGAACAAATAATGTCAAGTCTGAGTGTATTAAAACTCTTGCTGGGCTGTTCGCTGTCAGTTGTTAATGGTGCACGTTTGGATTTCTGAGTCACAGGGTAAATATTTTCTCTTTCTAATTTGTAGGATTAAACATGAGTTTCAGTAATAATTTTAAGTGCCAGTCCTGTCTAATGGTGTGTCTGCCCTCACGCCCTGGCCCACGTGCCATGTTTTCAAAAAGAACTGCTTTGAGAAGAGAAATAGGTCTGTCTGCATCCAGCAAACATGAGGAAAAGAGAGTATTTCCATTTTCTCTCATTGTCCATGTCACCTGGATGCTGGGTAGGAGCTTCTTTTTGCAGTTCTTCATCATGAGCTGGGTTGTTTGCCAAACCTATATGTCCTTGGGTGAGTCTGAAGGAAGAGCTGGGATTTTTTTGAATGTAGACTCAGGTCGAATCTGCCTCCTGTGGAGGAAAAGAAAAGTTCAGCCCCAATGGCTGCATTTCCCGTATTCTGCCAAAAAAACCCTACACAAAACCTAGAGTTTCAACCCTTTGTTCATATATACCTGTAGGGATCCTCTAAGACAGCACTCTGTGTTGGTAGAAAATAATTATTCCGTAATGGTAGGACCAACAACCATGGTTGGTTGGAAAAGTGACTAGTGATTTTGGTGTAAGCAAATCTGAAATAGAGAAGTCTGTTCTTCTGCTAAGGAACAGCTCTCCGTGGACAGTTAGGAACTCCAGCCTTGCTTGTTGCTAGAGGAACGGAAAAAGAACAAAACTCAGAGATATCATCATATATTTCTCTGTAATTAGAGGAGAGATGGTAACATCTGTGCTGCTTTCTTGTCTGGGAGAAATAAAAATCCACACTAGTAATATCTGTATATCCCTGTCATTAACTTTGTTGCATTCGTTGCAAAAAGATTTAGCCATTTCCAACAAACCTGAAATAAATTCTGCAAAAATAGTGATGTGCAGTGCCATAAATAAAAGCTGTTCTCGTGTATATGCCACACACGTGGATCTTTCTGCCTAGCACTTAACATGATCTTTAAGGTCCTTTCCAACCCTGACCATTCTATGATTCTATGTTCCTTAGAAAACACACATTTTGGATGAAAAAAAAAACAAAAACCACCAAAGTAGCAGCATTCTTTAGGAGAAATGATGAAGAGGGTAGGATGGGAGCTGGGTAGATTATCCCTTTTCTGCCCACCTACCTTTGCATTTCCTCTTTGCACTCTCTCCCCATTTCTCCTCTTTTTGTATAAAATAGTCTTGCAGTATGTAGAGCATAAGAATCATTTCTCTAGCAGAGACTGCAACCTGCTTGAGGAGCCTCCATCCCTATTAGAGTCTCTTTCCAGAAGAAGTAATTTCCTTCTCCCTATAAATTATGCATCAATGTACATTGAAGATTCTGAAATGATGAACAGAAGATGAAAGCGTTGCGGAGTGTTGCTGCTCCTATGGAGCTGAATCCACGATGTTGTATACAGGCTCCAACACACCTTGTTAAGACAAACCTGCACGTGTTGCTGTCCTAGTACTCTGGCTGTAAAAGCGTGGAGGTAGGAGCTCCTCTGACTTCTCCAGCCTCAGCTCTGTAGGAAAGACTTTTTGTCGCCTTGGAAGGCTGTGATGAGGAAAGACAGCAACGTGTGTCCAAAGTGGTCTTCCCCAGATGGATTCTGCTAGCCTGAGCCAGGGTGATTCCTGGTCTGCTTTCCTCCTGATGTCTCTGGAGACTTTCCAGAGTAGGAGGTTGAGATCTGCGAGTATTGGGACATGCACGACCCCTGTGGCCTTACCCTAAAGCTGACACCGCACGCAGCTTTGGGGTTGTAAGGGACTTAGATGCTCTAGTGGGAACAGCACGTCAGTTGGCTAAACTGGAGTTGAGATAACCAACTAGTACTTCCAAACTGAAATAAGGATTAGTCATTCTGAGCTGCAGGTGTGTGACAGCTGAGCAGTACGAAATGTGTTGGAGGAGTGGAACTACAGCGTACCGCAGCAGGGCAGGTCCACGCAGGGCTGCTTGGCTGGCTTTAAACTGTCATCTCTCAGTGTATGAGTGATGTTGTTGGCTCCTGCAACAAAAATATACATGCATATGTATAAAAATAAATGTAAAAATCTCTTTTAGCACAGATGAGGTGCTAAATCTGCCCAACCTGCCTTTGGTGTGTGGTTTCCATATAGTGTAACAGGGGTAATAAAGGTGTGTATGCATTTTTTGGGCAATGGATATTAAATATATAATGTAATTATGTACTGAAAAATTGAAAAATTATGCTTTCAGGTTATACATAGCCTGTGGAGATAGATGAAGAATGTAATCAAATGTACATGTATATTTTATAGAAGAATTATGTGCTGCTGCCTCAGTTGAAGCTGCATGGGAGGGCATCCTTTACATTTTGTCATGCCAGAGAGCCTAGGGAGAATTTTGAAGTCTGCCCTTGGAATACAAAGGTGGCAAATAAACATTAATAATGATTTCTGAAAGGGAAAGTTTGGGGAGTTTTAAGTAAAACTGCTGGGTATCACAGATCATTGTGTAAAAAGTAAAAGATGCACCTTGCAATAGGTCTGAATTACCATTACACCCAGTGCTGCGGGAGCTGATTCCAGACCTGCGGTTCCTGTGGAGCTTTTCAGGGCAAATCAAGCACTGCTGTGGTGCTTGAGGTGAAGGGAAACAGGAACAGTGAAATACCTCCGTGCAGTTCTGGCATCAGTGAACCGGCACTTACTCTGTATTTCTTCCGTGATCACTTCAAATGACAACGAAGCATCCCGAGCACTTTGCACTGTTTGCATCACATCTGGTGGTGGCTGCCAAGAGCTGTGTGTTTGCTTAACTGTGGATGTGTCTTTGTCCCTTCATGTTTTGCTCTAAGGTCCAGTTGTTCACTTCTACCCAAGTTGACCCAACTGCTGAGTTTCCTCTTTGAAGAAAGCAATGCCATGTGGTACTTTTCCTTTTCCCTCAGTTGACAAAGTTTTATTTCAGTGAGAGATTTTGCTTTTTAAATGCAACATCCACTCTAAAAGAACCTGTGTATTAAAGCAGACCATCGAGCCTTTCATCACTTATCTGGTTGATGGCAGTCATGAATTTTTTATTTTCTGCAGGGCTCACTCCAGATCTGCCACAGCATTGTGTGGGTGCACACATGTAAAAAGGCTGCTAATTGAAATTCAGATGTAACGAGATGAAGTTTTGCTATTCACCATGACTGCCTTTTGTTTTAGCCCTTGTATGCTCAGTGCACCTAAACAATGCAACTATTGCTTCTCCTTTTAGATTCAACAAGAGTAACTCAAAAGGCAAGAAATATTTCTGTGTCTGCTCTAGAGATGAAATATGCCCACCCCAAAATGGGAATGGCATGTGTTAGTTTATTTATTTACTTACTCATGTGTGGGGAGGGATGGAGATTTTGATGGAACTGAAAAGAAAATAAAATTGAAAACTTGCCACTATAAACTGCTCTCTTTTGAAGATGCAAATGTGTTTCTATTGCCTAGGTAACTATTATGGAACGCCCAAGCCTCCCAGCCAGCCCCTCAGTGGGAAAGTAACTTCCACCGATGCTTTGCAAAACCTGCAGTCTGGCTCCAAGCAGTCAACTCCAAAGCGAACCAAGTCTTACAATGATATGCAAAATGCTGGCATAGTGCATACAGAGAATGAGGAAGAGGACGATGTACCTGAAATGAGCAGTAGCTTCACAGGTAAAATGACAATATCACAGTCCATCAGTTATGGTATATGGGAAAGATTTTTGGAGGGGGATCTTTTTTGTTGTTGTTGGGGTTTTTTTGTTTTGTTTCATGGTTTCTGTTGGGTTTGGGTTGTTTTTTTGTTTTTTAATGGGTTTCCTGCAAAGTTGTAAGTCCCAGGCAGAACTGGCCAACAACACTGGGATGGCAAGTGTCTGGGTGTGGACAATCACATGCACAGTTGTGTCTTCTAAAAAAGGCTTTGTGGAATTGAGCTGGATGAGGAAAAACTGTGGAAAAGCTCAAATCCATTAGCTGCAGAAATTTCAAGAAAGAGTTAAAGTATGGTTGACAGTTCTTAGTCATTATAAACAGTATGAAATTACTCAACCAGGGATACATTTGAAATTAATCATTGCTTCTTCCAAAATGTGTTGCCATCCTTTCCCCTTCCTTGCATCTGGATATACCCACCACACACAGTTACTAGGTCCTCTTCTCCAAGGTACCTTCCAGCAAACCAAGGGCTGCTTGCTGCAGGAATGAGGTGTGAGGCAGGGGTGCAAGCTCTCTGTTTTTACGAAGGCCTTGTGGTCTGCTGAACAGAGATTTCAATCCTGCCATGGCTCCCATTGACCACTGGCTGAAAGATCACTGGAGACTTTTACAATCTAGAGTCAGGTGCTGTGCAGGCAGATTCAAATACTATTGGAGATCAGTTGAGTTTCTACACAAATGATCTGGAAGTTTGATAAGCTCTGATGGGCAAGAGCTCTTCTCCATGTGTGCAATCCTAGTATTTGTTAGTGCTTGGAGCACTACTTCCTCAGCTCAGGTTGAAGCACTGAATTCATCTTCCTAGCTCCCTCTGAGGCAGGTGCTTAGCAAGCAGTGTTACCCACACCTTCAGGCCTTTCACAGCTGCTTGCTGGGGGTGCTCACCATCACTGGCACTAGGTCCTTGGTCCCCTGGTCACTTCCTGCACCATGACAATTGTCATTCGCACCTGTGATGAGTTGTAGAAGCTGTCATGCCAGCTCCAACCTGCCAATGTCCTGGCTCTAACATCTGTATAAACCTTTAAAAGTATTTAGGCTGAGGTTTAATTTTGTCCCTCTTTGGGCCAAACTGTCCAAAGGCTTGTGAGGGTTGTGCTCTGTTTGGCTGTTATCTGTTACGTGTTCCCAATCCAAATTACTCCTGGCTGGCCTAATCCCTCCCAGGCTGGAGTTTCTGTCTCTGCTTACCAGCTCCTTCACAAAGCTCTGCACTGAGGGTAGTTTCTTACGTGTTGTGACACAGCAGCAAACTCAGCCTTTGTCACAGGATCTGATTTTGGGAGGAAGCTGGTGGGAGATGCTGTTTGACCTCCTTGCTGCCTGTCTCAGTTTGGTGGCCCTGAACTAACTCGAGCATCATTTTTCTTCCTTGTTTTCCTTCACAAGATGAAATACTGGAAGATGCAGCTCATTTGTCACAATATTATCACACCCTGGCCCCTTGCCTCCATTAAATGGGCACAGAATCAAGAAAAGAGTTATTTCTCATATAGCAAAGTGATTCCTTATGCTTATTTCACATATAAGCGTGCTAGCCGTATTAAAATGCTCCTGCTTTCTTAGAAGACCTCTCGGTGACTTGTGTTTTCCAGAGTTTGGCATGTTTACACTCACAGTCTTAAGCTGGCAATGATTCATTCATGCTTCTTTGTCTTGTCAGCTTCTACCTAAAAATATCAAACACCGAGAAGGCTAGAAAGCAGGCAGCGGAGGGTACTGGCATAGTCTAGATCTTTTTCTTCTCTTCCAGTTTATTATTGTCAGTATTTTGTCCTTTTGTGGAGGCAGCACACAGACTAGAAATAGCGCAGGAGCTGCAGTTAATGGCCTCCCCAAAAAACAAGACTGTGGGCTGTGCATTGGGGATGTCAGTGGTCTCTGGTCTGGAGGGTGGAGGCGAGGTCTTGGCTGTGAAGCCCTTTCAGTCCCACTGGGGACGTGGCAGAGTGTGGCACTGATCTCTCTGTCTTTTGCCGAGTGTGTTGACTGCGGTGTGTACTGGGGGCTGGTGATCTCCGATGATTTGGGAGTACTGCCATCAATTTTCAACACCTTCAAGAACCAAAGAGAGAAATGCCTTTGGTAGACACGGGTAATTTTAGAATCTGTTGTTGCCAAAACCTCTCTGTGAAGGAGTCGGGGGCATAGACCTGGCTTGTGGAGAATTTTTACTGTGATTAGGGGTGGAGGGAATGAAGAGCAGTGGATACAGCTCAAAACTGCATGGACATAAGCAACAGAAATGTTTCCTTAGAGGGAGAAGGTCCAGATATATGATAAAATATTCCTGACTTTCACTGGAAGGATAGAGTGATGAGCCATGGAATAAACCTCAGACAGCTAGAACAGGCGCTAGTGACCAGCACCATGTGGACGTATAGCGAAGTGCTGTCAGCCGTTTTAATTTTTAATTTAAAAAAACACTGCAGTAGATGTTCACCATTAGCTTGTTGACTTTGAGCTTCTGGCTACCCTCTGCACTTGTAAAAATCTCCCCTTTTGATCATTCTTCAAACAGGAAATTTTATTCTCCTAATCCGTGTCCCGCAATTGGCTCTGCGGGAGTGAAACTGTAAGCCTGCTTAGAAACCCATTGAACTCTTTTACATCAGTGAGCCCTGGCCTCAGACAGCTTGGAAGACTTTGGTACCTCAGCAGGGCCTGTTAGAGCGAACACAGGAGCTGATCACAGCTTCTGATCAGTGCTGGCGAGGGTCCGGCTGCAGAGCGTGTGTGGGCAAAGCAAGCTCGTCCCTGCTGGCAAAAAGACTGCAGAGCCCCTGCCCTCGGTTCAGCTGTTGCTGTGCCTTGTGAATTAAAAAGCAAGGAGAGGGAAAGTGTAAGGATAAACCTGGAGAAGCAAATGGAAGGAGAAAAAGGCTGATTTTCCATTTTGTGCTTGTTTATTCTACAGCAGAGTCTGGTGACCAAGAGGAGCATCATACGCATATCGTAAGAGAGACAGGCCCACCGTCCGCGATTGATAGCCACACCAACGTTCCCACCACGGAACCATCTCAGAACCTCCCTCAATACCTACCTCCTCCTGTCGAGGATAACCTAGGTCCTCTGCCGGAAAACTGGGAGATGGCCTACACCGAGAACGGAGAAGTCTATTTTATAGAGTAAAGCACTTTTCTGTTGTTCTAATTGCATCTCTCTCCCTCTCTCTCTGGGCATAAGTAAACCTCCCTGGATGCATTTCGTGTGTGTGTATTAAATATTTAGTGTATAAGGTTGTGTTGCAGAGCTGTAAGTTCTTTAATGCTTGTGAAGGGGTTTTGTATTTCCTGATTGGATTAACATCCAAATTACTCCTGAGTTCAAAGGCAGGAGGAATTGCTCATTTTATGAGGGTAGTTACACAAGCAACAGACACTTATAAAATATGGGCCAGTTGTTTTCACGGGTGGAATGAAAGCTCCTAATTGAAAGGGCTGAGACTTCATTTCTGGAACCTGCCTCTGTGCATAATGCAGCAGAGAGAATTCCTCTGCTCGTGTGCTCAGGCGGTAGCAGAGCCAGGGAATGGGCTTTGTGTGTTGTCGTCTCGTCAGAGCAAATGGACCAAATGTGTTAACATGCTCCAGTGGTTTGCAGAAGGCATAGCTCAGTGCAGAGGAGGCACAGTAAGTTTGGAAAAGGAAGGAGTACCTTGTGGTGTGCAGTCTGTGCCTAAGAGCTGAGTGCTGTCAGCAGTTTTATGATGATATTGATTTTTTTCATGCCATAAATAATAGTCTCTAATTATACTTGTCTAGATTTATTGAGATAGGAGTGACTTATAAAATGGGATCTATTAGTGGAAGAGATTTCTTGCACAGCGTTTAGCTAGACATTAAAATTCAATTAGCTGCCCAAGTAGAGGATGCAGGTGAGGAACTGATTTTGGATTTGATGATCTGTTTAATGCTATCTTGGAAATGGAGGTCTTCTGTCTGTGTACCAGAAGCCAGTGGCCCGTTAGTGCAGAAGAACATCCTCTGCTAATGGCACTTCTGGTACTCCAGGCAAATACCCTGGATTGGGGCAGTGAGGGGAGCAGTCCTGCTCCATCATCAGGAGAGGGGACTTTTAGATAGGGCCAAGGAAAGTTCATCAGAGCAGGTTTTCCCTTGGGTACAATGGCAGGGGAACACATCAGACGAGATCTGAGGAGCTGGGAGGACTGAGAGCACCACAGAAGCTCTTTACGAGCTGGGAGAGGGCTGCTGTAAAAAAGGACATTGTCCAGGGTGCTTCCTATTACCTGAAGAGGCTCCACCAGCCCCTTAGTGTGAGCGGAAATCTAGGAGGCACAATGCAAATTCTCATCAGCTGCATATCAGATGAAGCTGAAATGTGTTCATTATCCTGAAGGCGGTATTCTGCCCATCGTTATGTCCTCAGGGTGCCTCATTCTTTGATGTGCTTTCTGGGTTTCAGGTAGATAACACAGCCTGAACAATAGCCCGTCCAGCCTGCCATTTTCCTCCCTGCAGGAGAACAGATGACGAGCAGTAAATGCTGCCCAAGCAGCCGGTTGCTCCCTTTTTGTCCCGGCGTGGACCCCTGCTGTCCTTCCTTACAGGTGCTTCAGCAAGGGGTTCTGCTGCTGCCACCAGTTTCCTAAAAACTCATCCCCAAGGTTGCTGTATTCTGTACGCACATGTTTTCTCTTAGGAATGCAGGACTGTAGCACCTTAAACAATTTGTTAGACCTTCTGCAGGAGAATCATGTATATCGTGAAAAAATACAGCCTGCATATATGGCTGTCTGACATGAAAATCTGGTGGCACACCAACTGCTTCCTTCCCTGCTGTGCAGATTGACCATTTTGCGGGTACGTACACTTGGGGGGGGTGATTTTGTGCAAGAACATGTTAGCGTGGATGCAGCACTGGCTGCCTGCAGTTCTGTTAATTCTAAGGACACCCTGAGCCTAGAAACAATTTAGTTTGATTTGTATCAAATTAAGAGAGCAAGCTAATGAGCTGTGTGGACCCAAGCTGGCTCAGATGCCTGTACCGTCATCTGCAGCGCTTTGGGTTATCACGTCAGGGTGCTGGAGGGAGCATCTGAGCTGCTTGCACAGAACCAGCACAGGTCCAGTGGGGCCAGAGCTGTGTGTGGGATAACCAATCCTGATGGCTTGTAGCTGAAGCAATGTGGCCCTTGAGATATGTTTTTCTGGTGCTTTAATTGGGATTTTCATTACCCAAAGTATCCCAGTCCCTCATTACCCTGCATGTAGATCTATGCGTGTTGCAGGTCTAACACAGTTCTGTCCCTCTGAGCGTATGATCTGAAAGGTGTTTAGCTAATTTTTCTGTGCCTCAGCAAACCACACTGTTGTGAGCCTTTGGTGAGCGAGTCAAAGTTGCAAGAAATATGCAAATATTTCATTGCTCTCCTCCCATCGCCCTCCTTCTCAGCTAGACTACAGACTTTCTGATGTATAAGTTGGCAGAACCCCTCTGCTTTATTGCTGTTAATTTGCCTGACTTGCTGAATTTCTACCATTCAGTTTTCTAGTTAGCGATTAATTGCTCTGAAGCATACAAAAGGATTAAATGCATTTGCTCATCCTGCCTTGGGAGGGCTGGGTAGTAGGATGTGTAAAACAAGGACTTTTTATTTACACACGAGGATCCTAGGAGCAGGGCATTCCTCTCTTGCAATAAAATGCAAGTTTGCTGATCGGTTGCTAGGTCCCCAGGGATCATAGCCCTCATTACGGCATTTCCAGCTTCACGAGGCTGTTGTTGAGGGCAAGGTTAAATTTGTAAACCTCTCCGAAACCTTGAAGGAGATGTAAATAGCATTACTATGGTATTGAAACTTAAAACTGTTAAGCAGCGTTAAAGGCTAAGCTAGATAAATGATCCCTCAAGGACTGGAGGGATATCTTTGCGGGTTATGTCTAAGATGACATCAGGTTCTAGAAGAGACATTATATTACAGGATTGTCTCTGTATGCAAATTAAATGATGGGAGAAAATAATGTCTGGAAAGTGTATTTTAAGCCTGTTTACTATGCAGCCTTCACCACTGGGACTGGCATCACGATCCTGTCAGGGGACTTGTAGAAAGGAAGAGTTGAAAGTTAAGCCGTTCAACTTCCATCAGGGGCTGCAACAGGACTTTTTTATTTGCGTAATTAAAGTTTTCACTGTGGAAATTTTGGGTTTGACTAATGTTTGGGTCAAATCTGGACAGGTCTTTTGCAGAACAAAGATCAGTGCATGGTTTAGGGAGGAAGGGAAGCTTCTGTTGTTTCATCAGGAGGCAAATGGCTCAGAGACAATTCCTGGAATTAAGAAACAAATCACCAAAACAAGACTTTGGAAATTAATATTATAACATTGCAGCTTTCACGTGCATCCTTCCAGTCAGGAATGGTGATTTGTATATTTTCACTTTTCACCTTTGTGAAAATGCCAAGATTCTTGTGATTTGGTAGACTAGTTTGCAAAACATCAAACTGAAAGCCATTTCTTCTGATGCGAAAATATGCCTTCAGTTCTGTTGAATGGTAAAGAGGATATATAGTTTTATGTCACTGATACTTCGGCTCTGCTTTATTAACAAAGGTCATATTTCCATTTTTGGTTTCCAGCCATAACACAAAAACAACATCTTGGCTAGATCCACGGTGCCTGAACAAACAGCAGAAGCCTCTAGAAGAATGTGAAGATGATGGTAAGAGACTGAAAACAGTGAAATAATAATGGGCTTGGTCCATTTCTAGGTGGCTTTCTTCCTTTCCTTTCCCCCTTTCCAATAGCCTCTGTTCAGAAATATTTTTTTAAAAAAACTTTATTAGTAAGTGCATAGAGACAATATCCATTATGTTGTTATAAAAATCACTGTCTGTGTATGTAAGATAGCCATTGAGAGGGCAGAGCGTTTAATAAAAATCAAAGAGGTGCTAGAAGAGGCTTCTGTTTTTGCAAAGGCATTTGAATAGTCACTGATGCTGAACAAGACTAAAAGCTTTCTAAAATGTTTGCTCCCTGGATCGCTGTGTAGGAGGAAAGCGACTGAGTCTCTGCGTGCTCCATAAAGCTTTCTAAAATGTTTGCTCCCTGGATTGCTGTGTAGGAGGAAAGCGACTTGAGTCTCTGCGTGTGTTACGCTTCAACCGCCTCCTTTACGTGATTTGAGAGTTATGTTGTTATTTCCTTGTCTGAGCAGAAATAACTCAATTGCTTCACTTCCACTGTTAAATTCTGACAGTCCACTTAGTGTTGTGATTGCTGAAAACAAATTCCATTTGAAAGTGTAGATTTTAGCTACTGAAAATTTACACCTGTGTAATTTTGTATTCCTTGAGATGTTGGAAATGCAAGCCACTGTCCAATTTAGAGCAGCCAAATGTGGGACTGTTAAAGGGGGTTCTTTCTCTGCATCCTTTAAGAGATGCTGGAAGAAAAAGGGAATTGTGATGAAAAGAACTTAAATGTGTGGGAAAACCTGTGTGGAAATTTTGGTCTACTGACCAGGAAAGGTGATGGTATTCAAATGCAGAATTTTGGCTAGCAGAATGCTATCATGGTAGACATATCTTAAAAATGGGTTTACTTCGTCAGTGTTGGTGCTGTCCTTGTAAAATTAGTTTTCATAATATGATTAACTGCCTACTGGTGTGAGTCAGCTCAATAAGAACTATGATTTTATTTTGGAAAATAATCGACTCAGTCCTTCTTTACTGGTAGGTTCAAACCTGCCCTCCAGATCTGCTGTTGCTGTTTTTGCACATGCAGCTTTTCAATCTCTGCTTCCTTTCACATGTGAGATTTTGCAGGATGGGAAAATTTGCCTGTGCAGCCCTCGCTGCCGTGATGGAGCAGGTCACCAGCTTCGTGGTGCACAAGGCAGCGTACCCCCAGCAAAGGAGGGTACTGCACAAGGCAGTAAAGCCCAGGCAAAAACCCAACATACTGAGCTGACGCCTGCTTCAGATCCTTCGCAACTGGCATCGTATGCCAAGAAGTGAGCAGAGGAAGTTGGATTAATGAAGGCCTTGCTCTGCACCTAAAAATGGATATATCAGTGGGTAATCAGAACTGGAACAAAATTAAATAATTGTGCGTGCAGGCAAAGCTCCCTCCTCCTTGCAGTTAAGCATTGCTGACAATTTAGAGAGGAGGTTGGTAAGTCCCAGCACAAGCTTTCCTCTTTCAGAGGAAGCGCAACTCCTGTCCTTGACTTTCTTTGCCATCAAGAGTCCCGCTGTATCGATATCCCCATGATGCCAACAAGCGGCATGTGCCATGGTGGGTTGTGCTGTGCTCTGGGGCAGGGCAAGGAGCAGGCAGCAGGATGAGCCGACAGCAGGCAGCTGAGCTCCTCTGTTAAACAGTTGTAAGCCTGCTTGCAGAAGGGGAAGTATTTAAAACCTCATGTCGTCTTAGCAATTCTAAAACAAGCATTGGGATAATTTATTTAATTCAGATTAGAAACATACAGTGGGGTCAATTTTTTGTATTTGATTAAGTTCATCATTTTACAGAGTAGTGGCATTCTTGTTTATCAGGTCCTTAAAATTGGCTCATGTCGTCTTCCCCCGCACCTCTTCACTTCATTCACTAAGTTGCTCATTAATGAATATTTTTAACATTCAATAGTTAAACCAGTTGCTTCATAGGTACAGCAGTGCACGGCACTGTTTTGCTTGGCTGCTGTGATCTTGTGTTGTAACATAAGAATGGTTATATTTCAGAAAACAACATGAGCACAAGGAAGAGAGGTTATTTTTACTGCACCACAGAAGTTGGATGTTTTTTGGCAGGGGTCTCTGTCAGGAGTATTTCCACTGAAGTCAGTGGGACTCCTCCTCTGTTTTGTTTGTTGTGTGTGTCCACCTGAGTTTTCAGACTCAATCCCATCCTGTTTGTGTTTTTTATAAATGTTAGATGTTGTTTCAGATTTGTTTGGGTGCAGTTGCCTTGTGTTCTTTCTTTGTCAGGATACATGTCCCTAACAAGTTTTTGGTTGTTTCCGGTTGTTTAGGCTATCAAAAGAAATTGCATTTCATATTTCATGCTAATGGTCCTAAACAACTGCTTTGGTAGAATATGTTGCAAACAGGTCATGGAAGTGGTTTTTTAGGTGTCCAAATTTTCAAAAGCAATGCTGTGACACTACATCTTCTGTTTGCTTCTCTCATTCATTTACATGGCTTATACTTTACTGTATTAGTTCCAAGATTGTTTTTGCCATCTTTGTTCTGATTTTGTCATCATCTTTCATTTTCAGACTGTATTATTATTATTTATAGGCTAAGCAATACTTTAATCATCTGTGTCACTGTTAACTTATGAATATGGAGCAGATAATGATAAATGGAGCAACAGGGAATATTGATGGCTTTGTGTGCTTGAAAAATTATGTGATCTTTGTCCCAGGTGCCCCACTAAAACTGGTGCATTCCTCTATGTGCCTCACCAGTGCATCTGGACTTCGATGTGCGCCTGTGCCTTCAGTTACAAGGCGCTTGGCCTCCATGTCTCTTAAATCATCTGAGGAGTTACAGTGAAGTCAATTGGACCTTGTATGCACATAAATTTAGATACTTTCTTGAAAACCTTGCCACATTAGTTCTTATTTAGATGCAAAGTTTTCCACTCAGATTTCGTCATTAGTATTCAGGTCTGGCCTTCTTATAACTCCGTGTGTCTGCAGAACAGGCTGCAAAGGTTGGACTGCACAGATCTGAGGGAGAAGCTTCACTGAAGTGAGAACAACACATATCAAACTGTGGCATGGAAGTAGTCAATTGATACAGATATTTTGAGAATGCAGGAACCAGTTCATTCATTATCTCCATCAGATCCATCAATATTCTGAACACTGAAGTGTGATAAATGGAAAGCTTGGGCTCAGTCTGTAGAAAATTAGTGCTGGTTCTGCTGTTTGCTGTAGGGAGTTTCTTGCTTGGTGCTGGTATCTGAAATTTTTCTTTTAATTTTTTCTGTCTCATTTACTGCTCTTCCCTTGGAGAAGAAGGGGTACACACGGAGGAACTGGACAGTGAACTAGGTAAATCATCCATCTCTCGTTTTGATGTTTGACTTCAACTGCGCTATTTTAAGCCTTTAATTACTTTCTCCTTTGTACCATTTTGCATCTTTGAGGTTTTTTTTTTTATTTCAACAAGCTTAATTTATCAGCAAAACTTCCCTAGCACACAAAACATTTATCTTCCCCTAGCTTCAGATGTACAGCGTTTTTCTTACTGATTCAGAGCTTGAAGAAAGCTGGAGAGCCTTAATCTTGCACAGTTTGTTTGAAGTTGCTTCCCCCTGGACCATTGATACCACTGGCTCCAGGAAAAAGCTTATAGATGCCAAAGTTGCAATCAAGTAGCCAGTGGTGCCTTTTTTTCTATGAGGGCCAAAGACATTTCCCAGATGAGAGCATCAAAGTGGGATTTAGAAAGCTTAAGTATTACATAGGATGCTTCTGCTGAGCTTGTGAATGAAACAGCTGAAAATTTTGCCTCGGTAGGTGGTTTTATAAACAGATGATTTTCAATGATGTGGTACACTTTTATTTGCTGCATCTTTTTGTGAAGAATGCTGTCTTGATATCTAATCTCAGCGGTGCTCATTCTGTTTATACTGATGGCGGAGGTAGTTGTTATTCCTGTTCAGCTATGCTCTAGTGCACTTGGAAAGCTGAAAGGCATAAGAGGTTGCGTAGGATTTTATTTCCACTAGGTCTATTATTGCTTTTAAAGAGGACTGTATTTACAGTTTATAGTTCTGTGTACTGGAGAATTGTATTACCAGAGAATTAACCTCTGGTTCCTGTAATGACTTGCAAGTATATTCTGCTTCCAGCTTCTGTGTGATTGATTCAGCATCAGCAGCCAGCAGCTGTTGAGTGGACTTTCACCGCTACTCCAGGAACTGTTCTGCTGGATAATATGCCTGGAATAATGTTGGAAGCCTAATTTCTTCTAGTGCAAGAATTTGAAAGAAATCACAATTTAAAGAAGAATGCAGTCGTTTTAGTGGTACTTTAGCATTATGCACAGCTCATACAAATAATCAGCAGCAGACCGAGAAACATCAAAAGTAGGTGGATGCATTCCAACTACCTGCAAAGATTTCTTCAGAAAGGGTCACTTAAAATAAGAGAGAGGTTAAAAAATTCAGAGTAAATGCAGAGGCAATAATGAAATGGAAATGTTCCCTTCTTTCATTCTGATATCAGAATCTAGTGCAAGCGAAGGAGCTGAAAAAACAGACATAGGAAACTCATTAATTGATAAGCCTGACCCCAGTTCTGCAGGCACTTACGTACACACATGTTTTGCTGGAACAGGATGAGATGTTCCCTTTGTTTTAATGCAGATAAGCTTTATTGAGCTCATAGCCCATCGATATACTGTTGAGATTTGCAAACGCTGGAGTATAAAGACATTTTCAAGTGGCTCACTTGGTTACAGCAATATTAGGGAGGGGGCATGAACACATACAACCTACTCACCAACCATTATTATGATTAGTATAAACTGGTTGCTGCCAGTATACAAAAAGGACACAAAAATTTAATCTTTGGAGAGAATTTGATCTATACTGGCTCACAGGAAGCAGTAAGGGCTGAGTATCCTGAAGTATCTCCAGCTCCTTTACAGTGATGCATAGGTGCAACTAAAATCCTTGGTGGTTGAAGAAGTTCTTTTTTAGGAGTCCATCCATCCCTTCTGTAGGGTTGGATGCTAAACAAGAGCATCTCAGTAGGATTCCATGTATTTACCTCAGGCTTAAAAGTGTAAAATTGGATATTTGTCCATTGAATTTACCTGCTGACAAATGCTCTGAGACTGCAGTGCTGCATGGATGTACCAAAAATAAAAACCATATGGCTCAGACTCCTAATGATGCAAAATGTTTTTTGGAAATCTTATGTTCGTGATAACAACTAAAGCTCTGGGTCATCTCCAGTTTGGCAGGAGAGGAAAAGAAGGGAGATGAAAAAGTTAAAGCCACTTAGAAGCCAGACTGTGCAACGTGGCTATGGAGAAAATTGCCTTTTGTTTTAGAGACATTTCAGAGGCTTTTAGAAGTCAGAAAGCACATCTGCATAATCGACAAGTAATGTGTTGAAAACAGTAGTTTTCTGTATTGTTACTTCTGAAAGTGTAGAAATGTGTTCCTTAAATGGAAAGCTGCAGAGACAGAAAACTGGAAAGATTTTGGCACAGCACCGTTTTTGGGGTTAGGAAGGTGCTGGTTTTTTGACCTTCCATAAAAATTCTTTAAAAGAAAAGAAAAAAATTAATACCAAAAACATTTTGTGAACAAAAGAAAAGCAAAACATTTTTGTTTGAGCTTTAAGAATCAAAAACACTTACTAGTCTAAAATAGGTAAAAGATATTTAGCAGGAAAAATTGTGGAAAACTCATTTTAAGGCATTTGTGCATTACTTCTCCCTTCCCCCATTCATTTTTTTTTTTTTCCACTCCAGGTTGGTCTCTACCATTCTCCTTTCACCATAGTGTAAAGAGTGAAGTGGCTGCCACAGCTTGTGGTTTTTCTAATTGTATACTAGGTCTTAATTTAATTGCACGGAAGCTCTTTAAGCCAGTCCCACAGTGTTTTCATCGTATGGGACTCCTTTGCAAAGCTGAGAGTTGCCTTTGCAAAAAGACTTTGGTTAGATTGGCCTTTAGCTTTCTAACTTCTTCTCGTGTGCACTTGCACTCTGTAAAGGAATATCTCTTTACGAAGCATTCATTTCAGATCGATCTGCTGATAAAATTGTGGAGTATTTTCATGCCCAAAAGTTAGCACTGGCTTGCATTTAATTGCTTATGTCTCAAGGAATCCAAAGATGTTAAACCCAATCAGGAGAAAATAATTATGAAAATGGAAAATCTATCTTATCTCTGCAAATAAGGGACATGTGGAGCAAAACCCATGAAAATTGATTTTGTCTGATCTCCAGCCAATTCTGAACACCAACATAAACTTTGAGTAATTAGTCCATGTGTGTTTGTATAGATTCTGTTCATCTCCAGTCTGGAGATGTTTCTATCCTTATGGCAACATATCTGAAGTCTATAAATGCAGAACTAGATAGTTATGCTTATTCTAATTAATGGACCATTGTTGATTGTATTGGCTCAGCAATTGATGCCATTAATGAAAATAAATCTTTGCATTAAATAATAAACAAAATTAGATCATTTGCTATCAGTCTTGTCAATTTAGTGATAAGTTTGGAGGAATTGTTTTGCATGGAGTATTTGAACTTGCATTATCTGACAATGGCTTTATTATTATTGTTATTGTTATTTAACTGAACGTGCAGAGTCTGTGGGGCAAGGACCCCACCTGCACAGTCCGTGGCAGGGTGGAGCCTTCTTTTGAGTTGATTCACCATTTTACACAAACACAGCACTCTGTATTGTTAATAGGTTGATTATTTCAGTACCCATAGCCAATGGGAACATTGAGTTTAGATGAGTGGGACAGGGATCAGGCCCTTAAGTAATACATATAGCTTTAATAACCCTCAGTTGGATGCTGAAGTGATTTTATTACATTCAGTAATTAACTATAAAGTACTATGTGCAGTCTAGAAAATCAACAGGAACAAAAGTGGATACATTTCCAAATGTTAATTTCATCTTCAGAACTGGTTTTTGTTCATTATGCTAATTAAAAAAGGAAATCTCAGTTACATGTGATTATGGCACTATATGTTTTTACATTAAGTGCCATGCAGTGAAATACATCTGTGTGTGCCAGCCCCACTTGGGTGGTTCCATAGCCGGGCAGTTAGGTTAAACTCTGTCCTGTTTCGAGATGCGCTTTTGCGCTGGGCTCACAGATGAGCGATGCAGTGTAAATCCGTAAGAAAGGAGTCAAAAAACCCGTTTTGGTGTTAAAATGCCTCTGGCCTATTGCGTGCATCAGCTTCCACTGCAGTGCCCCCATCCAGGGCCATGATGATCAAACCAGGTGGGTACTTGAGGCACTCCCAGAAAGGAAATTTATTGATCATTTGTTCATTTAATGTGAAAGCGCTTTTAGAATTGACTGCCATGGGCATCTTCCCACTGATCTGCTAACCCAGCACTGGTGGGACAGGCTGTGATGTTGGTTCAATGCTATGCCAGCCTTTCAAAGGAGGCTGGGATTGTTCTGAAAAGTGTTTGAAACGAAGTCTGAGCTACTGATGAGTTTTCCATGCTGAGCAGGAGCGAAAAAAAAACTGCGTTGGAGGATTCAGTAATGCTTTTTCTATTTCCAGAGTTGCCTGCTGGTTGGGAGAAAATTGAGGATCCCGTATATGGTGTCTACTATGTAGAGTAAGTGCTGCTCTCTGGTTCTGGTGTGGCTTTTGGGTGGAGGAAGGTTTTCCTCCACAGCGGTTTGTGTGCTTTGTTGGTAGCATTTCATGCCGAGGAGGAGGAGACCCTGGCCCCGTACAGGCTGGGGGATGCTACTGGGAGAGGGCAGCCCTGCCTTGCCATTCCCCATCCTCTGGTGGGCTCTGGCAGCAGCACCCGGGGGTGGAGGTGGGCTCTGGGGAGACAGGAGGATCCCAGGATGGGGTTGAGCTCCAGGGTTGGGGCGAGCAGGAGCCCCAGAACATTAACAAGTGTGTGATTAACTGAGCTCGATCCCCTTCCTATAGAGCTATGATCAAAATATGAGTGTGCAAAGCAGAGCACCAATTCAGTTACACATCAGAAGACACTCAAAAGGAGGAATGGACACGTCTGTGTGACCAAACAGCCCCAGCAGAGGTTCTTGCATCAGGCTGTGTTGTTGTGAATAAAATTACAGGTTTAATGGGTCTCTCTCCAGAATTAGAACAGCTTCTTCTTTATCTAGATGTCAGATCGCTCCCTTGGGAAGCCAGACATCTGAGTTTTGTTTCATCACTGACCCCATAAAATGAATTTTTAATTATGTGTATACTCCTGTCTAGTGGAATGGCTTATGATAGCCCTCAGAATAGACATGGAATACAGTTTCTGTCTGCTTTGGCTCATTTCTGACCCTACCATCAGTGCCTAGGGAAATAAGGTTAGCAAACTGTGTAATTAAGGCTTGACATTTATTTACCGAAGACATCAAGAATATTTTTCGGCTATTAAATGCTATGCCAAGAGGTCTTTACAGCATTTTTTCCTGTCACTTTATATATACATGCCGGTTAGTTTTGTGGCACTCCTTAGTGATGAAGTTAAATAGAAAAGCATCAGCAATGAGACATGAGTTTATTTTACTCATTATCTATAAGCTAGCAAGATGATTATAATTTGAGCGTTTGTCTCTGTCCCTTCCAGTTCAGGCACTCTATTATTACATAATAGTTTTTATTGAGAAACAAATGTATCATGAAAAAGTTTATAACATTTTTAGATTTTTTTCTTAACTTTCTGAAGATGCATTGAAATGGGAAATCTTTTGCAGAACTCATTAACTTGTTTTTATTTGATTAGTTAAATATTTTTCCAGTGATTTAATATTGATCTTTAACAGGAAAATTCTGAACATGACGATCTAGAGTGCTTCTTTTGTAATTACTTGAAAAAGTGATTATTTGTTCATTCAGGGATTTTTTTTTGATAAAGACACGTGGGACAAGAGACAATAAAATAGCAAATTCTTAATGGTAAACTTTGCTTTGGATTACAAAGATGGGCTTTAAGCTAGAATTACTTTCTAAGGTCTACCTGCTCCTCTGCTGTAGCAAAAACACTATTGAAAAATTGCTTTTGAACAGCTGATGAGCAGGTCATCTCAGCTGTAGCCATCAGCTGCAGAGAGTCCCCAGACCTGCCCCCACCACCCTGGCATCTGTGGCTGGTGTTCATCGTTTGGCTTCGTGAATTGGTTCATCCTCTGTGGAGTGCCATGCCTCTTGTCTGCCGTGTTTGGGGCTGGGCGGCTTTTTTTATCCTTTTCTGGAGATTGGTAAGAAGTATGGGCTCTAAACATCTCATATGGGTCAAAAGCTGCCTAATGGTCCTCCGAGGAAGACAGCTGAAGTTTCACCAAATGCTGGTTTCCACTGTGAGTATTTGCTGGTGCCTGGTTCTGTATATATTTTGATCCATTTGGAGCCTACCTTTCGAGCTTATAGCCTGCATCCCTGTAGATATTTTTAAGACACCCTGTTAACAGTGTGCATTGATCAGATAGCTGACAGATGCTACCAGTTGTTGGGGTTGGCTTTTGTTGGGTGTTTTTTGAACTTCACTGAGCCAGAGACTGACTGCACCTCTGGGAATCTGATTAAAGCAGGGATGTTATAGGCCTGTCTTTCAGAAAGCAATCAGACAGAGCACCTTTTCGGCTTTAATCTCATTTTTCACAGATAGATCACTACCTTAATGAGTTTGAAGGAATCAGCCATTCCTACTCAAGACATCATATCAATACTGGAATCCGCTTGTTTTCCTAAATACACTTTTTGGCTTGACGAGGTGAGCCTTGCTCCACATGTACTGCTGTTGGGTTTGTTTGGTACTTTACTCCTTTCCTCAGAGTTTCATGCCTGGCCATCGTTCCTGCTTGTCGCATAAAGGGTTTCCTAATTTATTGCGCTCTTTCATTTCCAGCCACATCAACCGGAAGACACAGTATGAAAACCCAGTTCTTGAAGCAAAGAGGAAGAAGCAGCTTGAGCAACAGCAGCAGCCACCAGAAGGTTGGCACCACCGAGGGCGTGACGGTTGGGGTTTTCACGAGGGAACGTGCCCTCCCGCACCTTGGCAGCACCATGCCAATGTGTTTGTCCTTCCTTCTATGGCCTTAGCATTTAAAGGCAAAATTACATCCATAGGAAAGGTTGCTTATGTCCTTCACATAGGATGCAGCAAAGGAGAAAATCTAAACCGTATAACCACTTACACACAGTAGCTTTCACCCCTGTTAAAGGGGAGCAATTTTTCTTTTAATGTCCTTTTTTTATGGAAAGTTTATAAGCTTCTCAGAAGCAATTAAAGCACACGTTTTGCTCTTTCATACGCTCCAGCAAGTTACTCACTGTAGCTGGTGTTGTTCCAGTCTGCATTGGGACTTACAGGCTATCAAAGGGGATGAGGAGGGGGCATTTACATGAGCACTGGAGAAACCTCTCCATGAGAGACTTCTTAACCCAAGACCTTTGGATGCTGTCAAGCTCTAACATCTCAAGTAATTTCAAAACACTTTTTTTTCCTTTTTTCCCTTTTTTTTTTTCTTTAAATGCAACCCAACAGCAGTGAGGGGCCTGTGGCATTTGGGTTTAGTTTGGTACCTTCGTAGCTTTCACACCCAGTTATTTCAGAACAGTTATTATCCAAGGGGAAAATAATTTAGGCTTCAGCATTCCTCCTGCAGCCCCGTTTGCTGCAACATCAGCTGTTCTACCTAGATGCCATGAATGCCGGGGAATAGATTTAATATTAATGTCGAGACTACTCAGCTGCAAATCAAGTCCCAAGTCTGAGTGTGAGGCAGGGTGTCCCAGCAGACAGATCAGTTGACCTGGACATCAGAATCTCCCCCAGAACTGGTTTTGGGACATCCCATTCATTTTATTCCCTCTCTCTGTGACTCCGTTTCCTCTCCTGGCATGCTTCTCCTATCTCCTCTGCCTGAACCCCGCACTCCCAGCGTGTGTACGTGCAGGAGCTCATAGTGCTGTTGTGAAACGAGTAACATTTCCCTCTCTGCCCTCTCTAGAATGGACAGAGGAGTGTCCATCCCTCCCACCACCCGCTGCTCCAAACCATGTTTCAAACAACCCAGAGGCAGCTCGGGAAGCACCAGTGCAAGGTAACAGCCTTGTTAAACCGGTTGTAAAAGTGCAACGAGGTTTTTTTCTCCTGAGAGTGAAATTCCCTCAGCTGCCTGCAAAGGGAGTATCTCCATGGCTAGGGTCACACCCCAGGGCACGTGCCTGCTCATCTGAATTCTCCTGGATTTCGAGACTAGTAGTTTCAATACCACATTTGTTGCCAGATGTGAGAGGCAAATAAGATCACCTGTATGAAGCAAAGATTGTGGCCATTCTCTATGTAGCATTACAAGTCTTTGAAAAGGTATGGTGAAAACATCAGTTACAACACTGGTGAGATTCAGCAGCAACTGGTGATGGATACAAGTGCAAGTAAGGGTCTACTAGGAGGTGTTAGGAGCTGAGGCAACACCAGAAGAGGGAGATCCTCTGCCATCTGTGGAGCTTTGCAGAGCTACCAGGCCTCCCTGCCGAGTCTCACTTTCTGTAATAACAGAGGGCAAAGAGTTAGTGGCAAATTACACCCACTTTCTGAAAAATCTGAGTTGAAGCTCCTCTGGGAAGCACTGCATGAGGAGGGAATGATAATAGGTCCAAATACTGCAGACCTACTTTGAAGTTGTACATGGGTACAAGTACTTTGGGCTATTGCAGCCTTATTTATGAGTGTCAATGGTCTGTGTATAGCCCCTGCTCACAGACCAGTGGTTTGACTTAAATAACCAACCAGACAGGACATGAATCCTTCCTGAATTTGCAGCGCGAGTTGAAGTGTTGCCAGATCAGGTTGTCATCAAGGGCAGAGTGTTCCACTTGTACCTGTTGCAGCACAAGTGCTCTCTGGTTACAAGTGGGTGTAAGTAGGCTTCATCTTTGGCTACATCTAAATTGCATAGCAAACGAGTGGCATTGCCCTGGTCTGCAGGAACCAGAGGCTGGGGAAGGTGAGAGAGGGGGAATGTGGCTGGAGCAGGTCATCCTGACAGAGCTGGGAGCAGCTGGGCGAGGCTGGCCCTGGGAGCTAGGAAATAGCGGATCCACCCTTCCAAAGCAGGAGTGCCAAATTTCAGTATCCAAAGACCCCAGCGCATTCCCAAGGGTACATTGTGGTAATCCAGACGTGCAGCAAGATAAAACGCAGGAGCTCTGGGGATGGTACCCTGACCACCAGGCATCTGGGCTTAGGTATCTCGTCAGAGTGCCCCAAAAACACTGGTCATCCTTGGGGAGACATCTGTGAATGCCACCTCTGCCTTTACACTGTCAGGCCAGAGGAGGGCTGCCCAAGTGTCCATGCATGGCAATGCAAAGGACCTGTCACGCAGGGGATGACATTAGAAGCCTCACTCAGCTCTCCACCCATTCCTGCCAGCCACCGAAATTTTGCAGTAACATTACAAGAGATCTTTAGGCTGACTCAGCACCGCTCTGAGTGACATGTCCTTCTACCCGCTAATGACTCCTCCTCTCTGTCATTCCTTCTTCCCTTCTCAGTGCTGCTCCCTCTTCTCTTGCTCCTCATTTGCAGCAGCTCTTTCCAGCTTCCCTGTCCCACTGCCTGTGCCCGGAGGTTTCCATCTCTCCCTCTGATGGCACTGCTGTTGGGGATGTGGACAGAAGGACCCCTCCGCTCTGCCAGCTGGGGTTTTGTAGATTTACTCATTTACAGTGTGATCCCCTCCCAAACGCTGTAGGTGGGACACAGCCTGTGATGCTGCTATCCTGTTACTACCGGGCAAGCTCTCCCTGTAGTTGTAGGCAGGTGCCAGCAAGCTGTGCTTGTTTTGCTTGTCTTTTGAAGCAGAAATCAGCACAGGACCAAGCCTCACTGCACGCTTCCTCTCAGCCGTGTTTGTTGGGTTGCACTTTGATACTCAGGGCTTTTTTGCAGCTTGGGGTCCGGGCAAAGCATCTGCCCGTGATGTGCAGGATTACTGTGTTCCTGTGCTACCTTTCAAAGGCAGAAGACTGCGAGTCCTCACACTGCCCCCTCATGAACAATCTTCAAATATTCTTTCTTTTTCTCCCCCAAGTGAAAGGCTTACAGTCTCAAATCCCTTCACTCTCCCTCAAGGTCTCCTTTCTGAATAGGGGCTCATGGCAATACTGCCAAGGTTTTTGACAGTCTGCCAGCTCTCCTGGCTGCGATACACGCTGCTGATCCTGGAGCTGTCACCAGAGGGCTTCGTGGCACAGTCTTTTCTCCTCTAAGCATTAAAAACAATTAAAAGTGCAAAGGTGTTTAGTGTTGGTACAGCAACCATGATTCCTTTTCCGAGCCTGTGCAACATGCTTTGCAAGGATGCTCTTTTGTCTTTGGAGCACCTCATTTGGTCTTAACCGTGCTGCCAGGGAGCATGAGCAGCCCTCCAGCACTGTTGCTGTGGTCCCAGGCTGCTCTTTGATCCGTACTCCACAATGGCAGTGCTTCATCCACAACAGGCAAGGAGCAGAAAGGAAAGAGAAAAGACTTCAAACTGTGTCTGAAGAACAACATCGGCATCCTCCCCTTTTTCACCGGAGGAGGTCACAGGGTGGGGAGGGAGGGGGCTATGCTGAAGGGTTCTGCAGTGTCTTGCCAGAGCTCAGAAGTTGCTTTTTACTTGGTGGTTTGAGAGAAAGCCGAGTGGTGAAAAGCATAATGATATTCCTTTCTGCAGAAATTCTCACTGCAGGCTCCTTTGGTAGGAGGCATTTGTGCTGCCCCTGTCCATCCTTCCTGGAATGGATGTAACCATCTTGGGACACAGATAAGACACATATCTAAGCCAGCATTGCCAGCTCTAATATATTCAATTCTTTAAAGCAGCATGTTTTCCCCTTTGTAGCCTTGGGGCTTTGGTGTGCACAGCCACAGCTAACAAAGTGCCAGGTAGTAGGGTTTTTGCTCACTCCTTTTACTGCATGATTGGATCCAAGGAGACGGGTGGAATGTGATGAGGTGAGAGGATGCTGGAGTGAAGTTCAGTCCTGTCCCAGCACACTGCTGTGTTTGTCCTTGTACTTGTTAGAATGGGGAGGGGCGGAGGAAAAACAGATCAAACACTCTTGCCTGCCTGTTTATAGATTTTCCAAACTTCCTACACAGGAAAACCTTTTTTTACAAGAAACCCTTCTGAGTTGAAAGGGAAGTTCATCCACACCAAGCTAAGGAAGAGCAGCAGGGGTTTCGGCTTCACTGTCGTTGGGGGGGATGAGCCGGATGAATTCCTCCAAATCAAAAGTTTGGTGCTTGACGGCCCCGCAGCACTGGATGGCAAAATGGAAACAGGTACTGGTGCTTTAAATAAAATTTACAGCCACTGCTTTTGTTTCTGTTTTTACAGCTGTTTTTATGTGCACTTCATAAAGAACTTTAGTCCTCATCCCTTTGTTGGGGAAAGATGTTCACCTTTCCCATGGACAAGCTGGGGAAAGAGATACATTGGAGGATGTGTTCAAAATCTTATAGCAAGGCACTTTGCATGCTGGAATTTCACCTCAGGTGTCAAAATACTCAGCTGGGGCTCTGCCAGCTCCTGCTCTTCCCACACTAGCCTACGGAGAGGAGCCAGCAGTCGTAGGGTCCCGTGTCAGGCTGCGGGTCCCTGCTCCCGCTGTGGCAATGGGGCTGTGTTTCTGCAGGGCTGCATCACTGCACTTTGTGTACCTGTCATGCCGCTCACCCCCTCTCCAAAGCTACTCCCAGACAATGAGTGTGTGGAGGAGTGGGCTAGTTTGCATTTCCCTTTGTGGAAGTGCCAAGGACAGGTTTGTTTTGCCAGAGATCAGACCCAGCATGATGAAATCCTGTCAGGATTCACCTGAGGTCCTCACTCTTCACTTGCAGGTGGAGCATCACAACATTAAACATCCCTGTGTTGCAGCCCCAGTCTTAAAAAATTAGTTGTGACTTAATGAATGACTAGATATCAGGCCAAAGTATGTCTGAGACATGACATGTGGCCCCTGTTTGAGCAGTTGGTGTTTGAGGGCCCTCTGTTATAGCTCTCCTGTGCTCTCAGTTTGTTTCCCTCATATGTCAGTAGAGCACAGTGTATAACGATGAGAGCTGGGCTTCAGAATAACTGTTAAATGGGCCATATACTGTGATTTGAATTTATTAATTTTTTGCATGAGCCGCTTCCATTTTCACTTTCAAAACCATTTGTGGACATAAAGGCTTTATGAAGTGAATCCATCACCGCTCCTTTTCCTTGCACAGGTACTTCAGTGCTATTTACCTGTGAGTGGTACCTCTTGGGTGCTGTAGATCAGCTCACAAGCTCTAATCTGTGGCTTCCTGGGCTGCACAAAACGCATGTGTTTGGTGTATGTGTCTGTGTCCTTTGCAGGGGACGTCATAGTCAGCGTGAACGATACTTGTGTGCTGGGGCACACTCACGCTCAAGTTGTGAAAATCTTCCAATCCATCCCCATCGGTGCCAGCGTGGACCTTGAACTGTGCCGGGGCTACCCCCTGCCCTTCGATCCCGATGATCCCAACACGAGCCTGGTTACGTCCGTGGCAATTTTGGACAAAGAGCCGATCATTGTGAACGGGCAGGAAAATTATGACTCCCCTGCGAGCCACAGTAGTAAAACAGGGAAAGTAAATGGCACAAAGGAAGCGAGACCCAGCAGCCCAGCTGAGGTCTCTTCCAACGGACCTCATGGTTACCCCAATGACACAGTCTCTTTGGCGTCTTCAATAGCAACACAACCTGAACTCATAACTGTGCATATAGTGAAAGGGCCTATGGGCTTTGGGTTTACTATAGCAGACAGTCCCGGTGGGGGTGGCCAAAGAGTGAAACAAATCGTGGACAGCCCGCGGTGCCGCGGCCTGAAGGAGGGTGATCTTATAGTCGAAGTCAATAAGAAGAATGTGCAGAGCCTCACTCACAACCAGGTGGTGGATATGCTGATTGAATGTCCTAAGGGAAGCGAAGTCACGTTGCTGGTACAGCGAGGAGGTAAGTCTTCAAAACTGCCTTAAAATATTGCTGCTTGAAATTTAAAAAGAATGCATGTCATGAAAGACTTGCTCTCCTAAGCTTCTCTGTAGAATATAGTTCATGTCCTGAGGTGTGGGGACGGCCCCAAGTTGTCAGTTGTCGGGTCACCTAAAAGGTTAAAATTATGTATTGGTTGATGCTGCACTGTGGGAAATGTGCATGTAGTTCCCATGGGCACATGCACTGCACACACCTTCTGGTAACGCACAAAAGAGTGGCACGGTTACGTATATAGTTACACCTTTACTTACATCACAAACCCTGATCTCATGCTTGTAAAAATTATTTTAAATAGAACATGGACATTTCTGGAGATGTTGTGGGAGATGGAAGAGGCTGGTAATAAGTTCTGTAATTTGCAGTGTTCAAAATCAGATATCCAATGACTCTTCACTGTGGAAGGGTTGCACCTGGGATACAGCTGGGAGTGGAGGAGAGAATTTAAACCTCTCCAAGTTGTAAGCAACTGAAATGCTACTTTTGGACATATTTGCTGTGCAATCGGGAGCTGAGCTCCTTTTTGGTTGCATTGTTGAGAGGCCGGCCGCCAGCAGGTACAAAAAACATCCTGCAGGCAGTATGTCTGCAGCCCTTGTGGGAGCGTGGATGGTAGGTGACCTGTCAGCGGGATCAGGCCATCCGCAGGGATGCTCTCCCGTGCCCATAGTAAGTGTAAAATAATCTGAGGTAGCTCACTGCACCACAGGTAGCACGAATCAAAATTACAAGGATGAGTTAGTGTGGAGCTCACAGGGAAAGTCCAGGTCGTTGGCTGAGTGCACAGCCAAAAGCAGAGGGCTCAGCTCTCCCTCGCTGTTCTGACAGTGGAGCTGAGATCTGAGAGGGGCAAAGCCCCAGCCCTGCTGTGCTCCCTGCCCCACGCAGCAGTTTTTATGGGCAACGCACACATCGGTGCTCAGCACTGCGCAGGGTCAGGCACGCTGCAGAGTTAAGCTGACAGGTAGGTGCTGATCACAGCCCCCAGCCAGCCCTGGGAGGAGTGTGTGGTATAAAACTACTTTTCTGATGCCTTTTCTAAAGTGTTTTGATTGTAGTAAGTTAGCAACAGAAGCCAGTCTGTTTTAACGGGGACAAGCTGCTTTCTGAATTTGCAAATCTTGTTTGTTGTTTTTAAAGACCTATTTTGAAAGAATTGAGGACATTGACTCTGCAATTAATAGCAGCTCTGGAGAAAGCACTGCCTTTCTTTTGCTCCTTTCTTTCCAAGTGCTTACTGGTTTTGTATTTTGATAGTAAATTAAAAAGTAGAGAACAGAATGTATTAAGAATTCTCCAATTTTCAAAGCGTGAGTTCTTAAAGGCTTTCAGTACTAGAGAAGTTTAAAAAATGCACTGCGTTCTTATGATTAATATATGTATTATGGAGCAAATATGCTTGGAAGAAAAATAGCAGCTATTATTAATCCTCCTGGAGAGTGCACATATATCTGGTAACACCATACATTAATTATTTGAATTGTGGCTGACATTTAATAATCCTCCTTATGCCTTGAAGGCATAATGAAAAGATTTGATGAGGAAATAAAAGCATAGTTTTAATAAGACAGTAAATAGTTCCCTGGTAAACTTGCTGAATCTTCCTATTTTTTTTTTCTATTTAATCGAGATACTAACCACATGTTGAGCATTTGCTATCACCTTCCCAGAGAGATACCTTATCAATCTCCTTGAACTACCTCCCTCCCTCCTTCAAGGTCCACATTTCCATCTCAGCATAGAGCACTTGCAGTTCCAAATTTCATGCTGTCATGGTACTGGACTCGGAAACCGCAATGGCTCTGGATCCACAGTTAATCATTGAAACATTTTTCTTTGCATCCAGAAGAAGGCTGGACCGAAAGGCACTCAGGTTGTGGCACAGAAGCCCAGCAGAATACAGACAGTGATAGCAGCCCCAGCATCAAAACCAGTCAGATTTGTTTAAAGCTTGTGAGATGGAGCTGGCTAAAATGCACCCAGCCCTCAGTGCGGCTGCACTTGGGTCCTTTCTCCTGTACCTTTACCTTATGTTACCCCTGCCAAGTCTTTTTGAGAAGTACCATCGCCAGACAAGGTGCCGCTATTTATGTTGCTCCAATTACAGAAATGTATTTGGCTCCAGTGTCTGATAAGCTCCTTCAGGGCTCCTGAAGCAGTTCTTTAGCTTCACTGTCACTTGTCCTTGCCTCCTCCTCCCTCTGGTGTCCAGTGAAGAAAATGCTCAGATGCTGTCAGACATCCTTGCATTAGCCTAACATTTGCATTCAGTCAGGCTTTGCATGAAACAACCCTGTAACACTCAGGCTGGTGTTGGGAGCTGTCGAAAGGATTTGTCAGAAGTGATTACTAATCAGGCAGAAAAATATCAGAAAGAGACGTGTAATATACGGGAAAAGCTCTGCCTGCTCCAAGCTGCTGGTGCACTCCCAACAAGGAGGTTTAATTGTTAAAATGCAAACCCACAGCCACTGAGAGCAGCCTGTAAAATATTTACTGGGAAGTGTCTTCAGCTGAAGCGCTGGCTTATGGGAGCGGGTGAGTCCTGCCGTTGCTTTGGAGCGAGGAACAGAAGGATGATTTCAGGAAGGATGAAGCTGAAATGCCCCCTCTGTGCACTCACATGTCATCTGAAAACTATTAGCAGGACTTGTACGAGATTGGGGCAGAGGGATAAAGAAAGGGATAATGTCAGGTCATTGAGATTTTGCTTCCACAGACCCCATAGAAAACTTGTCTATGTTCTGCTTTAATTTTTTATTTTCCCATTTCTCCTCCCCTCTCTAGGCCTTAATGATATTATTGCTGTTGTGTTCCTATTTCAGCTATGTGTAGTTCTGGATAAAACTCACTGAGCATATCTCAAGGTTTGGACTTTGACACCTCAGTGGTTCAAGAAGGATGAACCTGGAGCGGAGGCAGGGTGCAGAGGAGCAAATAGGGCTGTATGTGGGAGCAGATGGGAAAAGCTGCTTTTGCTTAGCAAAATAAAGGGACAGAGGCGTCAAAATTATTGTCTCTATTAAGTAGGAGAGATAGAAGATGCTTAAACCAAAGAGTTGGCTGAAGAACAACTGGGTGTTGTTTGGCTGTGAGTAATTTAAACTGCAAGTAAGAGGCAAGTGCCAACCAGTTAGAGCCTGTAAGTCAGACGAGAGGAGGTGTAAAGCCTTTGCTGCCTGAAGGTGAAGCTCAGCATGTTTGTAGGGGATATGACATGGTGCCTGCAACAGCCGGGGAGATGCTTGATAACCCAGCAGGACCATTCAAGGGCTGGGTACCTCAAAGTAAACCAGAGCTACTGGTTCCAAAATGCAGAATTAAGCGTATGTTTTTGTCCCTGTACTGCACAATGTGATTACACGTCAGTTATTTTAAAGAGTTATTGTTAACGAGGCCAAAAAAGGCACACCTTTCTTTTGAATATTTGTAGCTGAAAAGGTTCTTTTAACCTTTTACCTACCAAGTACATAAAGTGCTTTTCACAAAAAAAAAAGCAAAGAAAGAAGGTAATAATATTTGCCACTTGAAATCCATTTGTCATTGAAGTCTTGTCTACGCACAGCAATCAACTGAAATAAGCAATTCGCAAATACCTCTCCATTCCGCATAGATTCTATTCATAATAAAGGCAACATTTTGTCAGAATAATTTCCCTCCTTCCCAAGGGACTTTTACTCTGGGAGTTGTGTCTATGCTGGGACAGGCAGGGGGCTGTTTCAGAACAAGTTATTCTGCAAAACTACTGGGGTGTGTTTTTTGGAGTCACTAAAGTCTAATATTTATTTCAATGAGAACATTTGTATGTCTTATTGGTGTGAGTTAACTCAGATTAAAGAGGATTATTTCTTCCCTTTTTTTTTTTTAGGTCAGTCTTCAGGTCACCCAAAAATACTGAGATTGGTTTGTGTTCAGTTACAAGAATTAAGCTGAGCAGTTTTCACACAGGTTTGAATGGACAGTTTCCATTCAAAGCTTTCACGCTTAGTGCTCCCCAGCATCTTTACTCACCACAAAGTCGAAAATAACATAAACCTTGAGCCTGATCTACATAATCCCTTTGAAGATGTGTTCCCACTTTGCTCCAGATCAAAGTAAAAGCATACAGGTGAAATGGCACTCACATGTCATGTGCAAATCAGTGGAGTTTCTAACAGTTTTCCCAAGTGCCAAATTCACATTAAAGTGGGGAACGGACATCCATCTTCTGAAAAATACAGGATATATATGCTAGAGTTTCAAAACTAAATGTATTTTGTGCAACACCTGTCTGTCTAAATGCCCGTCAGTGGGTGCCTGAGTCTTACTTTCATGTAAAAGCAAAGTCCATAGTAAATTCCCTGTTCGTGAGTCAGCTGAATGAGTGTTTATGGGGAGCAGTCAGGTAGGTGGAAGTGGGGAGAGGTCTGTGCCAGTAGTTCTACTCATTTGGTCCTCAACTCAGTGGTCTTAAGGTCTTTGTGATATATATATATATATATATATGGATATATGGATATATGTAACTACAAAAGATTTGCAGCATTTGAACAAAATTACAAAGCTCCAAAGCAATAAACCTATTAAGTCTCCTTAGCTAGATGGACCTCCGCTTGCTGGTCTGGTGATGCTCTTGGTGTATGAGGGTCGTTAACCTCTGACACTTCGCACAGAGAGGAGTCAACTCCTCCTCCTTGTGCTGAAATTGCATGCTAGAGTCAACTGCCCTGGACTTGAAGGCTCTTTCTGTAGCTGAAAACAGAAGGACGTCTTTTTTCTCTCCCTATTTATCTTGTGTCCATGCCACTGAAGCATCGCATAATAATATAAATACGTGTCTTTTTTTTCACGCTGCTTGCTGCAGCTTCAGCCTTCCCCCAGCAAGGGTAGAGAGAGCTACAAGATCCTTTAGACACAGTGGGAAAACTTTACAAACAATATATCATAACAACTTATAATTGCAAGCACATTATAACTGTATA